AATATCTATGATGCAGTTAAAATTGTTAAATTGAGACTGAATAAACTTCATAGACTTTGTTTGGCATATCTGTTTTTCTGAAATGTTAAATTCAAATATGTGTATGACCCAGTTTGTTGGAATATAAAGAAAAAGTCTTCAAATGATGATTATTGGATTGAAACAGACAAAAGTTTTACTTTTAAAATTGATGAAAATCAAATAAATAATTCATTATTAAGTAGACATCAGGAAATTTTTCTGATGCAGATTTACATAATTATTACACTATTTACGTAAGTTTACAGCGGGCCCATAATATTATGCAAATAAGCATACAAAAATTATGCAATTATTACATCAAGTGTAAATATTACATAATTTTTATGCAAATATTACAACTTTACATATTAAAATTTACGGACGTAATATTACAGCAGGGAAAATTTCCTGATGGAGTCAAAAATCCTCAAAAAGCAATACTTCATAATAGGCAAAAGATTGATAGAAATATAGATAATATAAAATTTAATGAATGTTGTATGAGTTTTAGAAGTTTTGCCATGGTTATCAGTATTAATAATGACCCTTTTTGTTATTATGATTTTACTTCTCATTTTTCCTCTTATCAAAATAATTGGAATCTTAAAAATAAAGATAAAATAGTTCATTTGTTAGAAAAATTAGAAGTGTATAAATTAGTAAGGAAAATTTAATAAAATATAAACTTTTTTATTTTTTATTTCTTTTAAAAATTTCACCGCATGTAGATGGTTTCCAGGTAGTAGGTCTGACCTTTATCTCTATGTTCTTAGGGATATATACATACAACCTTAACCTGGCGAGGGATAAATATAAATACATGGATATATATCTGATCAGCTGGTTTGTCGATCTTTAGTGAATGGCCAATAAATACTGTGACACTATTTATTACCATAAAAAAGTAGCAACTTTACGTTGCTCACAGGCGTATAATGAATGATAAACATTCCAAGTGTTATTTAATTTAAATTCCTTTTTAAAAAAATTCCTTCAAAAATGAGTAATAAGAATTTTTCATCCTTAGAGGATATGAACATGTTATTTGGCAACATTATTAGTTCCAACAAAGATGCATCACCATTAAAATATATCAGTAAACTTGTAAATGACTTAACAACATTGTTAAATAAAGCAGATTATTATGATGTAGAAATCAAAGTTGGAGAAGACAAAAATGTTAAAATTTTTAAAGCTCATTCTACCATTTTAAAAGCAAGGTCTTTATATTTTGAAACTGCTTTGTCAAATAATTGGTTAAAAAAATCTAAAGATGGCATTATTTTATTTGAGAAAAAAAATATTTCTCCAAAAGTATTTGAAGTTATTTTAACGTAAGGATTTGATTTATTATTAATTTTTTATAATAATTATATAATTGCTAAATCAAAAATATTATTTAAAAATATTTTTTTTAAAAGATATATTTACAATGGAATTATTAATATAGACAACCTGGATGCAAATGAAATCCTTGAATTACTTGAAGCTTGTGATGAATTAGAATGTAATGAATTAATTGATGGATTACAAGATTATTTAATCCAAGAAGAAAGAGAATGGTTTCAACATAATTTAATTTATATTCATGATATTTCATTAAAACATCAATCATTCACTTTACTTGAAGGTTATTGTGATGAAATGATTTGTGAAAATCCAGACTCATTATTAAAATCTGATAACTTCAAGATCATTGAAAAATCAATGCTTATTTCCATATTAGAAAGAGATGATTTAGAATTAAATGAAATAGATATTTGGGATTGTGTCATTCAATGGGGAATGGCACAAAATGAAGAATTGGAAAAAAAAATTTTTTCAGAATGGAATAAAGATGATTTCATCAAATTGAAAAATATAATGGAAAATATTATTCCATTAATAAGGTTTAATAATATATCTTCAACTGATTTTTCTAATAAGATCAAACCTTATAAAAAAGCTTTTAATAAACAAATATATGAAGAAATCCTTGAGTCTTATCTTGATGATAAATGGCAACCAAGTTTATTACTTCAAAAAGGTTCAAGAGGAAAAATATTAAATTCACAAATGAAATATTTAATTTCTAAATGGGTTGATGGAAAAACTGAACTATATAATGAAAATAATGTTCCTTATGAATTCAAATTAATTCTTTGTCAATCTCAAGGTGGATTTTCTAGATCCATTTTTGAGAAGAAATGCTATAATATAGAACAAACAGTATTTATAATGAAGATTAAAGAAACTGGTGAATTAATTGGTGGCTACAACCCAGTTTGTTGGAATATAAAGGAAAAGTCTCCAAATAAAGGTTATTGGATTGAAACAGACAAAAGTTTTACTTTCAAAATTGATGAAAATCAAATAAATGATTCATTATTAAGTAGAGTTGAAAACCCTCTAGGTGCAATATATCATAATAGGGAAAAGATTGATAGAAATATAGATGAGATAAAATTTCATGAATGTTTCATAAATTTTCAAAGTTTTGCAATAGTTATCAGCATTAATAATGACCCTTTTTGTTATTATGATTTTATTTCCCATTCTCATTCTTATCAAAGTAATTGGAATCTTAAAAATAAAGATAAAATAGTTCATTTTTTAGAAAAATTAGAAGTGTATAAATTAGTAAGGAAAATTTAATAAAATTAAAAAAAATGTTATTTGTGTAATTTTAATTTCCATATTTTGATTTTTTAAAAGCTTCAAAATGTGTAGTAAGTGTTTTTCATCCTTAGAGGATATGAACATATTATTTAACAACATTATTAATTCCAACAAAGTTGGCATTGAAAAATTAAAGAATTTTATATAAGTGAAGACCTACAATCTTAAACAAACAAAGACAAATCTTCAAAATAATTTTATCAAACATAATCTTAGTAGTTTCTATAAGGATTGTGCTTGCGTTTTTACTTCAAAAACACAACGATTTTTCTAGTAGGATCTGTAACAATCATGCTTGAGTTCTTTTATTTTTCAATAAAAATTCTATAAGTACTGGGAACCACTATGTGGGGAATACTTATTTCTTCTCAAAGATGAAAATATTAATAAGTACTGGGAACCATATATTTGGGGAATTGCTTATCTAAACACTTTTAAAAATTTCAAAAATAAAAGTAAACAACAAGAGTTTTGGTTTGAAGCTTTTTGTTACCATTGTGATGAGGAAACTGTGAAATGTGGCAAGAGTGCTGATATTTGGGAATCTTTTGTTACATGTGGTCGTGAGAGGAAAACTAAAGATTATTTTACTACTTGCGGTCAATGTTTAAAGAAGAAAATTCCTATTATGGAGTGGAAATTGCAAGATGAAAATTTGGTGAGAGAGTACTACACACATATTCTCTTGCCTAATGATGGTGGGCGAAACTATTTCAACAAATCCAAAATAGTTTCACCCACAGACATTAGGAGTTTAGGCTCCTAAACTAGTGGCGAAACTCAAAAATTGCCTAAACTATGGGTGAAACTCCTAAACTGGATAATCCTTTTAATTGTCAAACATATGAGCAAAATAATACCATTATTATTACAATTTTATAGATGCTAAAAACATAATAAATATTTGATTACAAAATTTTTTTTCTAGAAATTAGAATGATCTAATTCTGTCACAAATGATGAAACTAATTCATTTGAATTATATTCCTCCTCATTGTCCCTATTATCATCGTCCACTAATATGTCATCCTAGAGCAGTAAATAAGATAATGAATCAAGTATGCATCTGAGAAAAACTCAAACTATATCATAAATATAAAAAAAAATTTATTAATAAGTGTGGATGTTTCATGGTAAAATTTTAAATCTGTTAGAGTAATACATAAGAGTTTTGCCCACAGCTTAGGCAATTTTTAAGTTTCACCAATTTTGCCAGAAAAACCTCATGCCTAAACTGAAATTGCCTAAATGCCTAAACTATGGTTAGTTTCAACCACCATCACTACTCTTGCCAAGCTAATTCTAATTTGGACACAATTAACAATTCAACAATCAATGATCTCTGAAATCTCAAATTAGTATAAATTCTCCAAAATTACACAAACTAAACAACTATTGCAACCTCTATTTCAACCATACTTCACCTGTAATACTTGCAGCTGGATTAATTCCATCATCTCTAATTAACTCCATATATCAATATTTATTTCTCACAAAAAAACTTCAATCATCCTTCACATCATCTCCTACAATCTAATAACTTTCTATTATAAAAATGTGTGGCTTCCATGGTGTGCTTTGTTTAACTCATGGTTGAAACAAAATAATATCAACTTGAAAAATAAAACAGCTAATAATCAATTATACCCAATTAATCAGATAAACAAACACCCTCAAGATCTCTTTCAAATCCTAATTCCAATAATTCTCATCTAGTTTTAATAAATAACTTTATTAACACTGGACCTGACTTCCTATTACCTAGGTAATATCCAGATCAGTCAACAATATCTATGATGCAGTTAAAATTGTTAAATTGAGACTGAATAAACTTCATAGACTTTGTTTGGCATATCTGTTTTTCTGAAATGTTAAATTCAAATATGTGTATGACCCAGTTTGTTGGAATATAAAGAAAAAGTCTTCAAATGATGATTATTGGATTGAAACAGACAAAAGTTTTACTTTTAAAATTGATGAAAATCAAATAAATAATTCATTATTAAGTAGACATCAGGAAATTTTTCTGATGCAGATTTACATAATTATTACACTATTTACGTAAGTTTACAGCGGGCCCATAATATTATGCAAATAAGCATACAAAAATTATGCAATTATTACATCAAGTGTAAATATTACATAATTTTTATGCAAATATTACAACTTTACATATTAAAATTTACGGACGTAATATTACAGCAGGGAAAATTTCCTGATGGAGTCAAAAATCCTCAAAAAGCAATACTTCATAATAGGCAAAAGATTGATAGAAATATAGATAATATAAAATTTAATGAATGTTGTATGAGTTTTAGAAGTTTTGCCATGGTTATCAGTATTAATAATGACCCTTTTTGTTATTATGATTTTACTTCTCATTTTTCCTCTTATCAAAATAATTGGAATCTTAAAAATAAAGATAAAATAGTTCATTTGTTAGAAAAATTAGAAGTGTATAAATTAGTAAGGAAAATTTAATAAAATATAAACTTTTTTCTTTTATTTCACCACATGTAGATGATTTCCAGGTAGTAGGTCTGACCTTTATCTCTATGTTAATCGGGATACATACAGCCTTAGCCTGGTGAGAGATAAATATAAAATACATGGATATATATCTGATCAGCTGGTTTGTCTATCTTTAGTGAATTATCTGGCCGACACTATTTACTACCATAAAAGGTAAACAATTTGACATCACCAGGTATATAATAAATGATAAACATTCCATTCTTTTTTAAAAAAAATTCCTTCAAAAATGAATAATATGAGTTTTTCATCCTTAGAGGATATGAACATGTTATTTGGCAACATTATTAGTTCCAACAAAGATGCATCACCATTAAAAT